TCTCCTCGCGCCAGGGGTAGTTGATCCTAGTGGACAATACACCCGGCTTCATGGCCGCATATGGACCGTCTGTCCGATTCAGCAGAGTCTGTATAACAGTTAAAAAGTAATTCATTAGTTAAACAATTGATCAAAACAGCATTTATTAGTTCGAACCGGAAGAAGTAAAAAGTAATTACCGAAAGAATTACGTCGCCTATCGCAAACTTCTTGCGACATAGATGGAGACATTTCTCCAACTTTTTCGCTGTAAACAGGACGAGATCATCAAGTACCTGTTACATTTAACCAATCCACATTGATGTAATCAAACTATTGACGAATCCAATGATACGAATATAGTAACATGTACTTACTTCGTCCTTCAATTCAACACTAGGGTCCTATAGATCGCGATACCATTCCTTCTTTTGGAAACCAGTTGCAGTGGACCGCAATCTCCCGTCCGTCTTCGGGTCATCCATCCATCTCTGGAACTTATCGTCCAACTGCGGCGGAATGGGACATACTGGGTCGTAGCTATCCACGGTGATCCCACGCTGACCGGTTGGTGTGTATATATCCTTCAGCTTCCACGAGTAATGCCTCTTGCGTAGCCCACGCCCAGTTGGGGCTTGCTGAAGGTCGTATTCGTCTTGGTCAAGGTAAGGTTCAACCTAAAACACAATACAGGCGTGAGTTCGTGTAATGACAGCTGACAGCTAATATGTATATGTATGACATTAAGTTTACCTTAATGACTGCGTCCGGTGCCCAGTCCTTATAGGAACGCCTAACGCGTCGGCTGACGGGTCACGTATCTGATGCAACGTCCGGCTCTTGAATTCCAACAGTGGCATCCTAATATACAACCAATATTAATCATATTGGTATATGGAAGCACAAACGTATAGTAGCGTTATAGAAATAGGACTTACCTGAAACAAACCGACAGGACGATCGAGTAAGCATCCGATGCATTGTCCCGCTCCGTTATCGTACCTCAGCCTCATCATTGGGCTGGGCTGGGCCTGAAGCTTGGTTCAGGTCCAAGCTCTACGGGCCTGAAGTATTGTTTGGGCCGGGCGTGGACCGACCCAACCACTCAAACCTAGGCTCACAGCTCAATCCATGGGCCTAAGTTGTTGAGCCAAAGTTGGATCGGGCTTAGATCGGCCCTTTGGATCGAGCTTGGATCGGCCCGTATATTAATATATTTTTAATTATCAAATTTTAAAATTTAAATAATTTCCAAACTAAGTTTTTTATTTTTAAATTCTAGAATATGTGTTTTTATATAATTTTTGGTACATTTTTTTTGTTATTTTTATAATCTTACTAATAAATTTTATTATATCATATTTTATAAATTCAAGTTGCCTTATTTTAAAAATTATATTTTTTATTTTAAAAATTAAATTTATATCTTTTTACAACAGAAATTGAAAATTTAAACACTCTGAATTGGAACTTGAGAGGATTTGAGATTGAGAATTAGAATTAGAATTTGAGTGAAGAAAAAGAAAAGAATGTTGATATTTATAAGAAAATTTTGTATTAAAAAATTTTAAAAATTACAACCTAATATTAGATATATTTAAAATAATTTTAAATTTTGAATTTGAGAAGTTGGAGAGTTTCCTCGTAATATGTTTCAAAACAATGATTTAAATGAGATATTGGGAAGTGGTAGAATCTCTTCGTAATATGTACCTATTTAGTAGGGAAACAAAAGATCTTATAGCCTACCATATCTAATTTATTTTTTATAATAAATAAATAATAAAAGAATATTTTAATATTATATAATATAAATATTAATAAATATTGCATCGGGCTTTTGGGCCGACCCTACGGGCCAATCCAAATACGG